TAAATATTATATATGTGTGTGTGTGTGTGTGTGTGTGTGTGTGTGTGTGTAGATATATAATATCTTCTTCATATGCCATACGCTATCTCAGCGCGTAGGCGTCTCCCTTTCATATACCTTTATATGTACATTAATCCTATACAACGTATGTAGGGACCTACAGTTTGAACGCCGATTCCGAACGACAATTTTTGATAAGGAGGTTTCTTGGGCAAATATACGACTCGGTGGTTTGCCAATGCCTTCCGAGAATAGCTACGAGTTATGAAAATTTTTCGGTTCTGTTGGGGATCGAACCCAAGATCTCTATGCTCTAGTATATCAGATCAGTGCGCTGTCTGCTACATCACTCTCACGCTCATATATATGCATAATATTTACAAATATATTTATTTTATAAATATTTTATAAACATATTACAAATGTATATAGTAATAAAGATAACATTAATAAGCGCATTTTATTAAATATAAATATAAAAAATAGATTATATTGATACACCACAGGTAATACGGAATAATAAAAATTAAATGATTATTTACAATTTTTTTCCAGTTATATAAAAAAAATAAATTCACCTTTGTTAATTAAACATTACTATAAGCGCGTAAATTCTGAATAAGTAATAAATTTTTATCCGCTTGCTTTCATGGATATATATTTATCCAGAGTAAGCCTTATCTTTAGAATGAACATATTCGCATTAAAAAAATATTCGGAAATATCCATGATTATGAATAATTTAATTTGCGGATTTTGTGCACATAAACCGCCGATAAATGCGTCCCATCTAAAGTGTGGGCCCATTCAAAATTTAAAGTCTTGTATCCACGATATTAGAAATCGGTCCGAAACCGGATAAAGATAGAATTGGCCAATCCGCAATGGTCATATGATCAAATTGTTCAAATTGATTTGTTAATTTTTTCTCTATCCAAGATCTCGGACCAATTTCTGACATCAAAGCGTTATAGACACAAAGCTTTAAGCCATTAGAATTTTCTCTGGCTAAGTTCGGGAAGACGCTAATAGCGCTATTTGTGTCGTTCTACCTTCATCATCCATTAAACATGGATATAGTACGACACAAATATAGCATTGATAGCGCACTCCCCGAACGTAGCCTACGACTGCTGCGATTTATCAGATATTTGAAATTTCGTTTAATTCGTTACCAACAGCAGACACGCGCTCATATTTGAATAGCCGTTAGGCGCTCGATAGGATGGCGTCCGTGGCGTTGCGGCAATTTCGAAGGGACTAGCAAGTTTTGAAAATTTTCGCAACGACCGAGATAATGGCAGATAATCAACAGAGCCGATTCGAGAAGTCGCTGGGATTGCTGACTACTCGTTTCGTGTCTTTGCTCCAGAAAGCGAAGGACGGCGTGCTGGATTTGAAAGTCGTGAGTACTCGGGATCTCGCGATGGCTCCGAAAAAGTTAACCTTACTAGGTTAAGTAACCGCGGCCGTACACGTCATACTTGGGTTGCGGGAATTTTGAAAGAAGTGCGCGGCAAAGGAATCGTGTCCGTATGTCCGGACGTTCCCTGGTTACGCGGCCGTTATCGCCCTTTGCCGCAGAGCCACGGACCGATGTTTGGTATGGTCGACACGCCGATAGCATTGCAATGTCATTAACACGCGATCCTACCTTAACCTATAAAAATTGCGGAATTCTCAATAGGGCGCCTCTATGATTAACCGAAGCTGCTAATCTACAACACGACTGACAGCTCATGAACTTTACAGGCCGCGGACCTTCTGGAGGTACGACAGAAACGGCGCATCTATGACATTACCAATGTGCTTGAGGGTATTGGTCTTATAGAGAAGAAGAGCAAGAACAGCATTCAATGGAAGTAAGTGCCACTCCTGTTTTTAAGGATATTTTATTTATCTGTTTTTGTCTTATGACAAAGGCTGTAGGATAGAGAGGTTCTTGGATCTCTCTATTCTATAGTCAATCAACAGGCTTGAAAAATTTGTCATATGATAAAAACGTACAAAGATAACCCACTCTAACGATAACACTCACTATCTCTTTCCTGTGACATGCGCTATTACTTTGTGAATGTGTGTTCAAAGGGGTGCAGGACCTGGCTGCAATACACAGGAAGTCGGTGAAAAATTAACAGACCTAAAGGAAGAGATCAGCAAATTGGAAGATCACGAACAGTTGTTGGATACCCATACCCGATGGATTCAGCAAAGCATAAAGAATATAAAGGATGATAATATAAATAAGAAATATGCGTATATCACATACGAAGATGTTAAAGAAAACTTTGTGGATCAATTTGTACTGGGAATACAGGGTCCTCCAGACATGGAAATAACAGTACCAAATGTTTTGAAGGTATTTGAACAGATATCTAAAAAATGTTTGCTCTACTTCATTGCAGTCCCTGGTAGCCTTAAGCTTCCAAACTGATTTTATTGCATTATAATTGCAATTTTTGTGAAAAAAACATCAATCTGGAGGATTAGGCTTGTTTTTAACTTATTGATTGTGATATTATTTTTGAAAGTTTCAGTCTTCTTCAAGAAATAACAGACAAATCTAGGAATCAAATCCAGATCTATTGCTTGATTGTTTTAAATCTGAACTATCCAATATTCCATGTCTAGAAAATATTTGATACAAATTATATTGGTATATATTTATCTTTCATATTCTATTTTTTTTTACATTTGACAGACTGTCATACAAGAAGATACAGTGATAAATTATAACATGACTCTGAAAAGTAATTTGGGAGAAATTAAAGTGTATATGGTCCAACCTGAACTAGCTAAAACTTACGATAATAAAGTGTTAGAAATGAGATTACGAGAAGATATAATAAAAGGTACAAAACGCGGAAACGAAGATGAGAAGAAAGAGGAAGTTACTGTTAAACCAAAGAGGAAAGTTGGAAGGTAAGCAGCAATATAAAAGGACATATAAGTCTGTGTATGCTCTAATCGTGTCAGGAATAATAAAATAATATTCTTGATCTGCACAGAGCAAATAATATAATTGGCAATTGCCAAATGATTTTGTAAAGGGGATGAATAGTTATCAAGTTTGAACTATTTCATTTGGTACAAAATGCACACTTTTATATATATATTTATACTTTTATATATTTCTCAAGATTATATTGGAATACATATAATTTATTTCAACATTAGGCCACCAAAAAACAGTACTAAACCAGATCCGGTATTAACTGATGATGAAGAAGAAGAAGATTCGGAATTAATAGAAGCTAAGATAGTCTTACGTGACGTAAACACCGCAGGTAAATTTATTTTATCTTAATTTGCATTTATTTGTTATATTTATTACAATGTAAAGTTTTTAAGTTATGTTTTTAATTATTTTTAATTATAGATATTGTCCAAAGAGATTTGGAGTTTCTTGATCAATTGTATTCTGACTGTAAGTCGAATCTTGGACCGTTATTCATAATTTGATTAATTATTCAAAATTGTCTTAAGTACGAGACTGTACGGTCATTTCCTTTATTGAATGAAATCTTAACTTTCTGTTGTCTGCAATCTTATTTCTATTTCTTCTATCTATAATCTGGGTCTTTTTGGTTCAGCTCAAATTTCTTTTACTATTTTAGATTCTCAAAAAATGTAGAAAGGGTTATTTTTCAACATCTCTGTTACATTATTAAATCGATATTACATAATATTCAGGAGGAGGAACTAGATTCTGCTCTTTTTTATTTTGAAAAAATTTGAAAATGAAATTTTGCTTGTGTCAAAAAAGGCCCAAAATTATAGACTGAAATTGAGACTATCCATGATCAAGCTTGAAACAATCTTGAATTTAAGAGATCGGGTTATAAATACTGCATTTATATTTCTTTTATACATTAACGGTCAATCATGTTGTATAATATATTTATATGAATTTTATTTGCAGTTTGTGGACCATTAATGAGATTAAGTCCACCACCTGGGGAAAAAGATTATCATTTCAATCTTAGTGAGAACGAAGGTGTTTGTGATTTATTCGACATTACGACATAATGAGTGTTGAGTTGACGTAGCTTCAATATGCGAAATGGAGACTGTGCCAACAGCATTCAAAGTTGATCAGAAGAATCTGATAAAATCATTGAGGAGAATTTGTGCATATAATTTTAGGGAAATTAATGGATCACGATCATTGAGAATATACAGTATTTTTTTATTAAAAGTACGAAAAACTAGTACGAGATATTGTGAAGATATACAACCTGTTCTGACCGCTGTTTATTTGGTACATTACTAAGACTAATTCGAAGTTTTAAAGACATTTTTTATAAAGATTTAAAGAGATTATCCTTGTAGCTTTTTGGCTTCATGTTTGCTTCATAAACATTGTTCAATGACAATATATAATTTTTTTTTGTAATAATTGTTCATTTAAGAAAAGGCACTGATGAATGCGTACAATCAAAATGAATAAAATTTTCTATATATTGCAATGCACATGTTGTGAAGCAAGCCTTTAAATATTGGATTTTTGTAAGAACTTACATGCACATATCCCTAATGTATTCTATAAAAGGCAATGTGACTAGAATGAATGTATTTTAACGTATTTGTACTCATTCGAAATTTTTTAATATTTTATTCGGATCTTTACTAGCAACGCATAGTTCTAGTTTATATTTATGTACAGTATATCTTTATTGCAAGATCAAGTCAATTGTATTTTATAATACAGTTCTCATGTCCGATTATATTGTCTGAATATACTACTGCAAAACTCAACATTTCGTTTTTTATATATGCACGTCCCATTATTGTGGGATACCAATATTATCGACTCGTCTCGAGCTCTGCATTACCAGAAAGCTACGCAACAAGCGACCGGATGATGCGGATTGTGCAACGCGATTCAATGAAAAAGTGCCTGTATCGACGGATGACGTATACCAAGGACAGATAAGAATGGATCGACTGATTTCGTCATCGCCAGCTGTCGTCAACACGTGTTCCGTCAACGTCGGGGATCGGGGGGGAACATTTGCAGTCAGTCTGGTCAGTCGTCCAAGTCATGTCGTAGCGAGAATCACGCGAGATCTCCAGATGCAACGGTCCATCAAGTTCGGCGACGCATACGCACGCAACCTGTCAAAATTGAACGCAGCGTTCTCCAAGGAGCGTCGCACCATTCGGTACCTCTACGTCCGTTCCTCTGTGACGCCACGGAAGGTAACTGATTATAGCGCGACCCCATGCCTCATGGGACGACAATTATGACGTAATACATCATGAAAGTTGTGGAACTCTTGCTATATGGGAGTTTTTAAAAAATAAATCAATTGTTTACAGCCACACTACAGATGAATTGATGATTTCGATCAAACTCCGATTAAATTGATTTACGATTAATTTATCAAGTAATTCAACGAACTTACGGTACGTAAATAGAAATATTTTTTGTTTGTTGATATGAAAGATTAAAGATAAGGAAGTACTACTACTACTCGACTTGCATCATGAGGAATGATAAAAAATAATGAATTATATAGCCTGTTTGGTTGAAAGTTTTGCTCTAATTCTGCTGAACTCGTCGATTTAAGTTGATCAAGATTTAATTGAAGATTTATAAAACAAGAAAGTGGTTATACTGATAATGCTCTAAAATTATATGTAGAAAATTAATTTCGAAAACTATTATTTTTTTCAAATTAAACATTAAATTCCAAAGTAAATGCAATTCTTCCTGAAATGCGTTTAGATTACTGAATACATAATTTTAGTGCACTGCTTAAAAATTAATTTTTTAATTGTTTTTTATCGAATTCCAATTTGATTTTAATAAAATAAAAAAAATTTATGAACTTTAGGAATCTGTATGATTATTGAAATTTTAATAAATTTATGTAGCTATGTGTTGACAGTGTTGCGTTATAAGTATTTAAAACATTTGTATAAATAATAATAAAATATGAGTAAATAATATTTAAATAATATTTTGTATAAAAATTATATATATATTTTTATATTGACGGTCGATAATGTTTGTTCTTTTTATTTCCAGGGCCCGTTTGAAAATCAAAGTTTATTTAGAATTAGCTATCACATAGTATATACCTGAATAATGTAATATTGATTTTATAATTTTTTACGAATATAGTAAAAATAATAATTTCAAATATTTATTTATATTTTTGTAGCCTAAGCACCGAAAATGAGGATCATATTCATAAAATTCCGTGAGATCTCGCAAAAGTATCCTATTATTCGAGGTATGGCGTCCTACTCGATTATATGGCCAACTGGAAATTTTTTGCAACACAAGATAATGGGCAAGGAAGAATTTAATTACATGGAAGCTGTGCGATTCAGTCTATACGGTGGTCTTTATGTAGCGCCTACACTATATTGCTGGCTGAAATGCGCATCTCACTTCTGGCCGAAAGCGGATTTAAAATCTGCGATCATTAAGGTGTGCACATTAAAATTGAAAAATTTATATTATTCAATATTGTTGTACGGTAAATTAATTTATTCATGGAAATAAAAAATAACTCAATGAACGTTAACTAACAATGAAATAATTGAATAATAATCGCAGGCTTTGATTGAACAAGTTACATATGGTCCTGCAGCTATGTGTTCCTTCTTCTTTGGCATGAGTCTTCTTGAATTAAAGCCAGTTTCGGAATGCATTGACGAGGTCAAAATTAAATTTTGGCCAACATACAAGGTATCATATCCTCGATAGATGTATTCTCAAGTCTGAAATTAAGCGGATTAACACAAGATTATTTTCTTTCTAGATTGCTATTTGCGTATGGCCAATTCTCCAAACCATCAATTTCATTCTAATTCCAGAGCGAAATCGTGTAGTATACGTCAGTATATGTAGTTTGATCTGGACATGTTTCCTTGCATATATGAAATCTCTTGAAGCTAAACAAAAGGAGTCGATTAGCATTACCAATATTAATCCCAAGATAATATCAGAAAGTAAAGCGCAAACCAACGAAAGAGCCAATCATATGCAGATTCCTCTATTACGATAAAAGTTTTAGGAAACTGACATGCCATTAGATTATTTATTTGTACATACTTGCAATTGGAAGCAATATTTATACTTTATGATGCAATTCACATATGATTATCTGTGATATTCACGATACAAAACTATTACCTACATTTGCAGGAAAATGTATTATTATACATGAATAACGTGTATTGATAATACTGAAACTTAAAAAAAGAATTGAAAGTATATCTCTAAATTTTTTAAGTGAAAATGACGTAATTGACAATATAATATTAGAACATCAATTGTTGATATACATATATGTTTATATATATATATATATATATATATATAAAACTAATTAGAATTGTCACGCAGATAGAGAAAAAAAATGTATAAACAAAAAATTATCGTGTTATAGACGCAAAATTAGGAAGTGGTGCAATGGATTTTATACTAAAAAAAGTTAAAAACTTAATATAGCATCCCCTTAAAATTTAAATCAGAGTTGTTATATATTTCAAGGTAACATGAAATATTTATGTTAAATTTACGAATTTTTTTCATATAGATAATACAAGATATATAAAATATTATATATATATAAAATATATAATATGTAAATTGTTATAAATTGGATAATATAATACAGGAAGAAGTAATTAAGTTTTATAATTGTTAATATATCTGATTGAGGGTGCAGTCGTATATACAAATATATTAGGAGATTTTGAAAAAGAGAAAATCTGTTTAAACAAATTATTTAAATAATAAACTCATAACAATTAAGTAAGTACACTCGGTAAAGGAGACAAATGTTTATTTCTACTATAGAACATTGTTATATATAATTAAAATAAGGAAAGTAAAATAAAAATATGTTGCTTATACAACACTACCGTCCTTTCGATGGTATCTGATGAATATGCTCAATAATCAGTTTAGGGTAATCTCTCGAGACGACAAGACAACTCGCTATTGCATCGATATATTTGTAATGATTCTAATAATCGCTCTGACCAATAATTGTATTTATATAAGAAAGTACAATTCAATGATAATATTATTAGAATAACGCATCGCACAAGGTAAACATCACTGAAAATAAAATATTTAAAATAAATAGATTATTTAAAAAAACGTAGATAATAACGTAGAAAATTACAAATTGAACACAAATATTTCAGAGGAACATATGCAATGAACATAGTTTAATTTCTTCATAGTCGTTTTTTTGTAGAGTTATCCATGTGGTCACTTTCTTTTATTAAAACTTTTTTTACGCGCACTTATAGATTCGTAGTTACATAAATTCACACCGAATTTATATTTAAGATCTAGCTTCGGGCGTTATGAACTTTTTTTCCCTATTGGTTGTATATTGACATAAACAGTCGAAGATTCTTATTGTTTAAATCTTTTTATTTTTAGCATATTTTTATCATATTTGATATAAAGACGAGAAGTTCAATTGAAAAATATGTCAGTCAATTATTTCAAAGTAATAACACCGAGCTTTATATTCAAAAATTTTAGTTAGATTAAAACAAGCTCTTTGAAATTCAAGATTACTTTAGGGAGTTAACATTAAATATAAATTAGTATTCTCGTTAAATAAAGACATTAAATTTTTAATTTCAAATTTTGTTTTAATAATTAATAATTCGCTTAAATAATTTTTCGTAATAGCTCGGTAATTTTCAAATTTAAATAGTAAATAAAAACAGTGAACATAAATAAACGTCTTTTGTAATGGTGTAAAAATCATTTTTCTTGAAAATTTAAGAAAAAAATAGATTCATATCATTTTCTATTTAGCTCTATCCAACAGTTATAGTAAAATAAAATTAGTAAAAATATTTTTTTTTTATATTTATATCAAAATAGAAATACTAATTAAAAACTTGTTGAAAAATAAGCAATAAGGAAATAATTTCATATGAAAATAAAATATTAATAAGTAAATATTAATATCCCAATAATATATCTTTATTTCAGCTGTTGAAACTATATTTTTTCTTTCTTTATATTTAAGAAATAATATTAAATTATGATGACTTTTTCATATACAATTTATTAATATATTTCTTTTAATATCTTTGAAATAAAAGATAAAGACTTTCGTGCAGGTATTTCAAAAGTGGAATTTCTAAAACTGATATTACTTATAACCTGTACAGTCAAATATATACACGCATATTTACATGCTTAAAATTAAATTAAATTAAATTAAATTAAATTAATTTAATCTTTTAGATTGATCTTTTATCTTATTTCTTAAATTCTACGAAAATAAAAATAATATAATCAAAATTAAATAATTTTAGACTCTTTAAACTTAAAATTAATTACAATAATAAAACGGGCATATAAAGCGCGGTAGTTAGAACGCGATAGTTAAATCTTTATTCTGAAGGTCCTTCTTATAAATTGATAGATGTGATATTCTTTTTATAATAAACAAACATTACTTCTACATTACTTCACCATAAGAGATTTGAGAAATAAATCAGAAGCACTGACGATGGCTCGGAAGGAAGCCAAAACATTTGTTTATTATAAAAATGTCATATTTATCAATTTATAAGAAGACCGTCCAAAATAAAGAAAAATTTTGCATACAAACTACCGTGCTTGACTCTATATACTCTATACCCGTTTTATTATTGTAAGGATAAGATTAATTAATTTCGCGAGTGCATTAAAATATACTCAATATATAATAGAAAAAAAAATTAAGAAATTCATAATTTTCCCAAGCTAAATTTTATGTATGATTATCTTAATAAAAATAATTAAAATTATTTTTTCCCATTTTTTTATATAAAAATTAGTTAATTTGGACTGCATTATCATTTGTTTCTTTTTTAAAATTTTAATTCATAAACCAATGAAAAATTGTAGATATATAAAACAATTAAGGATCGACATGGGATTCTTAAAGTTGTTATTAAATATTGGTTTAATATTGGCTATGAGTTTTGGCATCAATGGTAATTTTGAAATTATACGTCGTTTATCCGTCAATACGATACCAATTCACTATAACATCAAACTGATACCGTATCTTGAAGAAGACAATTCTACTTTTCACGGCGAATCCAATGTCAAAATCGTAATTTATCATGCATCGCAAAGCATAAGCTTACACTCAAGAGAATTAGAAATAAATGAAAGGGAAACAACGTTGATTAATGACAAGGGTACAGTTTATAAACCGATGGAACATATTCATGACAATGTAACGAATATTTTAACACTTAATTTCAAAAATACATTATCACCCGGTTTTTACATTCTTAACTTAAAATTTGTTGGTATTTTATCTGAAGTTGGTTCTGTACAAATTGGTTTCATGAAATTTCCGTACATAAATAAAGAAGGAAACAAAATGTAAGTAAATATTAAAAGATTAAAAATATTTTTATAATGTAATTATAAATGTAAATATTATTTACTATTCTTTTGCTTTTATCATCGTTGCCATAACATGTAAGGTTCGATAAATCATTATTTAAACATATAACAATTATACTTAAAATTCTATTTGTTCGGTGATCTGGTTCGCCTCTGGGTCTATCCTATAATATATAATAATAAATACTAGTATTTTCTAAATTCTTATGCTATCTGACATAAGTAGTAAATTTACCAAAATTTAAGATATTTTATTAAATCGTAGATGGATTGCTGCAACGCAGTTCGAACCGAATGGTGCTAGACGAATGTTTCCATGTTGGGACGAGCCAGCGTTAAAAGCCACCTTTAATATATCTGTAATACATCATCAGAAATATATAGCATTGTCAAATATGCCAATACGAGAGCAATTCCAAAAAAAAAAGGGCTTCATACTAACACACTTTAACACTACTCCTATAATGTCTACTTATCTTGTAGCAATTGTTATAATCCCCATATCTGATTTCACCTGTGTTTCCAACGCGGACGAAACCATTAATATTTGGTATAACTCGTCTTTGGCATCGCGAATAAAATTAGCGTATACTATTGCTCAAAGAATCACGCCGCTTTTAATTGAATATACCAATAGTTCTGAAAAAGTACCAAAAATGAATCACGTCATAATACCAAATTTTCCGGTTTACGGCATGGAAAATTGGGGACTTATCATTTATAGGTAATATAAATAATTAAAAAGAAATTAATTAAACTATTAAAGTCAGCCATTATTTCTCTTAGCATTCAAACTTTAATAATTTAAAACATGTGCATTTTCATAAACACTTAAAAAATGCACACTTTCACAGCACAAAATATCACATTCACATCACAATGGTAATCATTATAATATAAGTTACATAAATTATGATGTCACTACCCTAATAACATTTTATACAGAATACATTCTGGAGATGTCACATGAAGGTCTGTTAAAGTATGATATTGTCAAAGGGTCACAACTACATTATATACATTAGATTGCATATTTATCACAGATATATTTTATATAATTTATTATATTACGTTCTGTCTTTCAGTCAAGAATCAGGAATTCTCTATGATGAAATCAAACAACCACGTTATAAAGCAACAAGAACAGCGATGTTAGTAATACATGAAATTATACATCAATGGTTTGGCAATTTGGTTACTCCATCTTGGTGGTCCTATCAGTGGTTAAAAGAAGGATTTGCTATGTTCATTCAATCATACATTCTTGATAATTTATCCAAGGTTATTTAATATATTACACATGCATAGTTACCCTTTTAAAAAAAAAGTTTTAAAATATAATATATTATAATCTAAGCTTAAAATAATTATACTAATATTAAATACAATTACATATAAAATTTTTATAAAAAATATCAAGATGGAACTGAAAGAAAGATAGCACGTATTTAATTTAAAGTCATAAAAAGATTATACGTTTCTTGTACAATCTAATAATTGTAAAACATTTTAATACAAATTTTTATTAGAATATAAAGATACATTTTTATTAGAATATAAAGACACATCGTTTTTTATATTTGTCGTTAAAGATCCACTATTTTTAATTTTTTATACACTATTTTTTGAACACTATATTTACATTCAGAAATAATTAAGAACGCTGTAATAGTTTTATTAGAATTTGAAAATACTTTATTCTCTGCATCCGCCATATTCATAATATTTAATAAAATGATAAACTTTAATATTTTATATTTATATTATTGATTTTGTTTTTATATTGAGTAATTTCCAACATTTTTTTTAAATATTCAAACTATATATTTCTCTTTACTTTTCTCTTGGGAATGTTTGACACAAAAGATAATATAATTTAGGTATTACAAAAGTAAAATAGAAAAGTCTTTAGAAGCAGCAAATCAATCAGTTTTTAGCTCTGATTCGAATGTTTAATATTGGGTCACATATAGAACTTTTTTTACAGTTTGGTGTAGTTGGAAATTTTCAAGTAAATTTTTTAATGGCGATTAATCAATATTGTCTTCTTCAAGATAGTGGCTCAATGAATTCTGTCACATTGAAACTTAACAATACTCTTGAGGATGGGTTGTTGTTTTCTAATGAAGTTTATGTAAAAGGTATATAAAACTAATAATATAGGACTATGTAAATATGATTAAAATATTATTCATAGATTCCCTAACGTAGTATAAAATGAAGACTAATATCCAGTCAGAAATGATAACGAAATCGACATCAAATCTATTATAATTTCTAACTGGATAGCAAATAAATTTTTCTCGTGAACAATATACATACCCGGGAAAAAAATGTTTTATATATAATTATAAATTTATATAAAAAGATGTGTTCATTTATATACAATTATATAAAATTATATATTAATTGTATATAAAACATTTTTTCCTGTATATTTACATTGTATATTATAACTTATGTGTATTATAAATACATGGCTGCATTAAATGTATTATTAATACATATTTTATGGTGTTTATTTTTGTAGCACCAATTTTATTACGCATGTTACACAGTACAATTACCGCTGAGGTATTTCAAAAAGGTCTTATTAAGTATTTGGCTACGTAGTAAGTATTGAATAATATAGTGTAATATCATTATTATATAGCACAATATTAAGTCACAAATATAATAATATTCATATTTATCTTATAAAATAATTATCTTAAAATAATATATTGTCAGCAACATATATATGTATTTATAGATAATTTAAATAAAAAACAGAATAATATATAAATACTCAACATCACACTGTTATTTAATTATAAAACCGCATACTTTATTTTTTATTTAATTTATAATTTAATTTGAGTTAGTTCTAAATTAAAATATAACTTAGAACTAACTTAAATTAAATTATAATTAAATAAAAAGTAAAGTATGCGGTTTTATAATTAAATAGCAATGTAATGTTGAGTACTTATATAATATATTATTCTGTTTAATTTAATTTATATGAATGTTTAATTTAATTTATACATACACATAAAAATTTTAAATATAAGTTTTTACATGTATATCTATAAATTAAATTAAATATTCACGTAGATTCTTTAATAGTACATTTACATTGCTTGACGTATATATAGCCTTTGACAAATCATTTTTCAAATTTAGCCAATTTAACTCGACTACTCCGGACGATTTATGGAGCACCATGCAAAGTGCTCTAGATGAATCTGATGTCCCGCACGAAGATTATAAAATAAAAGAAGTCATGGATACTTGGATGAATCAAGACCGTTATCCTATAGTAAACGTGAAAAAAAATTATGAAACTGGTGAAGTAACAATATCACAAATATGTTTCCAGAAATTTAATGAAACTATTACTAATAAATGGTGGATTCCCGTGACTTTCGCTACACAATCTAATCCGAATTTCTCTAATACTATGCCCAAATATTGGTTACGACCAGATCAAAATATAAGCTTTACAATTAATTCAAATGACTGGATCATTCTCAATTTACAACAAACTGGTAAGTATGGATTAACAAATCTTTTCTGCTTTTTTATTTTATTTTATTTTCGTCAATAATTAAATAATTTATGACAAAAATTTAATATGGCTTTAATAATAACAAATTTTTACTTGAAGACTTAATAGTAAATATAATGGGTGTTGTTACAGGATATTATCGCGTTAATTACGACATCAGAAATTGGTATAAAATTTCAAATTACTTACATAGTGGTAAATACAAAAATATACACGTCTTTAATCGTGCTCAAATCATTAATGATGCATTTTTCTTTATGATGAAAGAAAATAAAGAAATAAGTGGATATCTATTTATTAATATTATAAGTTATTTATCGTTAGAAACAGATTATGTGGCATGGTATCCATTGTTCCGAATTTTAACGCGGTTGAAGAAAACTCTTTTACTACCAAAACTAGAAAATGTTAAGGTAGGTAACAATATTTTTCATAAAGTTGAATATTTCTAATATCTATTACAATTTTTCTCTTTATACTTACTTTTTATCAGTAACAGTCGTATTGTACTAGTAGTAAATTTATTAATTTAAACATTCTAGATTATGTTAAACAATTGATGACCCAATGGTGCCCCGGTTTCCCCTATATATTGAGGATATCTTAATTTTCTTTCTCATCATAAATTAATTGCATTTCTATAAAAGTGCCATTAGAATTGTCATTATTCTTTTTATATTGATACAATGGCATGCTAACTTCACATTCCAAATTTATTCGGATTTGTGAAATTAACACGACATTCTATTAATAAAAAAAAATAATAATGATAGTTCTAGTAGCATTTTTCATAGTTCCTTATCAAAATAAAAAAAAGTTCTGTATTTTTTATATTAAAACACTAAAATTAAAAAAGTAGTAGTTAGAGGTCTATTAAAATAATTATAGAGTATAGAATTCTATTAAAACTAATGAGAAATTTCGCTTGAATTGCAATAAATTATCGCAGTACGACACTTTTTTTCCAATTGCTGTGATATCTTGTACATTTAAATAAAAATAAATATATTAACATTGGTAATTGTTAGAACTGTTTTCAAATTACATACATATTAATATAGGTATTAATATATTATAAATTATATTATAAAACTGAGATGCAAGTTCACTTGTTACTCATGTAATGTGAATGTATTAATAAAACATTAATATACTAATAATATATGAATCTGAACATAAATATCAATAAATTATTATCAAACCAATACAATATTTCATAATTTCTATTATAGTTGCGTTTGATAGAACTTTTCGATAGACTACTTCTAAAAATAGGATATGAAGAAAATCCTCATGATGACGATCTCACAATAATGACAAAAATAGATGTTTTAAAATTTGCATGTATTTTCGGTCATGTGAAATGCAAGGCAATGGCCGCCGTTAAATTAAACAAACATCTCGAGAGACCTAAAATCTACAAGTAAGTTTTACGATCATCTTATAAATTGTATTCTCACGTTATCTTATAAATTGTATTTGTGTATGTGCGCGCATGTAGATAGCCGATTTTCTGTTTCTTTAAATCATTGAGATCAAAATTTTCGCCTTATTTTTTCTCCTCAATCCTCATTCTTATTTTAATGATGGAATGCACATAGAATAAATATATTATTGCATATAAGCGAAAGTATATAATAAATTAACAAGCAATATTATATTATCGATGGAATTTCATTAATTTCTTCACTGTAGTATGATGATTATTTGGTCGCGTTAGTATCACGTAGAATGAGAAAATTGCACAAAAAAATTGCACGGAAATATAATTTTACGCGCAAAATAATTAAGGTTGCTTAATAAAAAAATGTAGAATATAAAAATACGAATATTCAATAAAATAGAAAATCGGTTATACACATGAAATCTACGTATCTTTTCTTAATAAATATGTGTTTTAGAATTCGACATTGGCAAAAATTTGTGTACTGTTCTGGTTTGATGACAGCCAATAAGGCTACTTGGGATAAAATGTTGAAATTATATTTAAAAGAAAAACA